ATTTGTTTTTAGAAAAAGTTTTAAAATCTACCGAACAGCCAGTTTTACGAAAATTAGGATTTCCAGACTGTTTCACTTAATATTAAAAAATTCACTATTCACTTAAAAAACATCAGAACAAGTTCAAAATCTCAGGATATGATTAATGTTGTCCGCCAAACGTGATTATAAGATCAAAGAATTCGAAAAGCATATTTTTGTTAATAGGTTTTCCAGAAACCCTTTTGGAAAACCTTAGGGTTTTGTAAAATTTATTTCGAGATCTCCTATAAATAGGATCGAGAATAGCTTAAATACTCTACATTCTGAAGTTTTGAACTCGTTCTGATGTTCTTTAAGTGAATAGTGAATTTTTTAATATTAAGTGAAACAGTCTGGAAATCCTAATTTTCGTAAAACTGGCTGTTCGGTAGATTTTAAAACTTTTTCTAAAAACAAATATTGCCACGAGACTCAGCATGGTCGCTTATCCATAGTTCATCCGTCTTTAAGGCTACCAAGAGTCACCGGGTGGCAGTCCTGGGACTCATCGGAAATCCGATACAACGTCCGAACCGCAGAAAATCAAGGCCTCACTTTACTCCCATTTCGAAGAGAACACCCCGGGCTATCAGCCCATGAAAAAAAATCAATGCATTCCTATGTGAATTTCGGCAAACCCAAGCTAGTTTTCCAAAGATCCTCTGAAAAACCCGCTTCAGAAGTTTTTCTGAAATTCGCTTTTCCTCACAGAAATATGTGGTCAGGTGTCTACTTTCCAAATTCGAAAACCGCAGCTCGCTAGCACCTTTCTTTAAAAAGTTATAAGCAAAATATCGGACTGTCTTATTCATTGAAAACGATAGTAGAAATTGCTCTAATTTGTTTTTTCATAAGATTTGTATCCAGACCTGCAGCTACACATTTGAAGTGAAGAGGTGAGGGTTCACAAAAAGACCCTTCAAGGATTTTCGCTTTCATGGGGGATCAACTGCCAATCTTCGACTCTCTGAGTATCATATTCGTCTACTTTTGTATGCTATTTTGTTTTAGCCTGATACTTTTCTTCCTGATTTACGAGGCACTATTTATATTTCTAGCCGTTCCGTTAAATGTTATCGAAGTCGAATGAAGATCTACTAATTATGAAAATAAACACAAGCCATCCTATTTGAAATTCTCGGTAAAATACGAGAGTTTCTGTGTGTCTGTCAGAGTTTAGATTAAACTCTACTGGAATGAACCATATATATAATATTTCAATGTTCACTCTAGACCGACAGTATTAATGAATTTTTTTTTTTTTCGATTGATGCGAGCATGTACCTGTTTGTGCTTTTATATAGTTAAAATAAATGCATCAGTAATCATTGTCTTTTTCTCTACTCAGTCATTCGCAGGCGAATTTTGTAGGAGTTTCAGAGAACGTGACTCGTTCTGATCGTTGGTAAACTATCTCGACCTGTCAAAACTATGACTAAATAGAAGTAGTCGACATTATATCTGCGTTATCTAATCTCTATTTAACAACACCGACAGTTTCATATCGTCACAACAAATTATTGTAATTCATCCACCACATATTACCTGCATGTGTTGCCGAACACTTCCAAAAGCATCTTTTACAACAGCATCAGCATGTCCGTAATGGTAATAGTTGTTTCAACCGTTGTGAATTGGAGAAAATTATTAGAAGAAATGCCCGAAGTGCCCTTGCGTGCAAGAACTAACTATTACGGCGATCGTTCATTGACTACAATCTTTTCTGTCTTTTAGTTATAGGTTTTGTTTAGTACACAGGATGATGACCCAGCCTTCTACACTATCTTTTCTTGATCGACATGGTTTAATTCGTGGTATTTTATTTTTTCTGGTACCATTATGCGTACTTGCGTGGTTTATTTTTGCATATATCTCGAGAAATGTGACGTACACATCTATCAGCTCGATTTTGGACGTTGGTTTGTTGTTATACATGGGTTTCTGGAACGTTTATGGTCATTCTACTGGTTTTTTCGATATGCGTAAACGTGGCATCAATAATATTATCATTGTTAATATTGCGAATATTGATAAAATGTTACCTTTATTATCGGCAACATGTTTTTCAGCTGCTGCCGCAATCCCTTATATTGGTGCAATAATATTAGAATATGAGAAAAGGAGGAATTCGGTAGCAAAATTAGAGAACTATGGAGGACTTATAACAATTTTTGAATGTACTGGGATTATAGTGTTAATTTTCTATGGTGGATTACTAACTGTCGGCTGGAATAACGAAGTTTGGGGAGTGTTTGAAGCTAAAAGAAAAAATTTGTTCTCGAATATTTTTAGCATGGTGGTTTACGGACATAGGTAGGTATTCGCTATTACTTATCCGTAACGATTATGTACAGAGAAGTGCTTATTATGGTATATGTCGACGTATGAGATGGTTAACCACCACTCCAGTAATTCAAAAAAAAGATTTGTTTGTGAATTCGTGCTTTATTTTGTTCAAAATCTGCTATTCACATTCACAACTAGGTGTTGATTTTATGTGGTTATTGCCTGTGATGGCATGCATACTTTGAACCGAAATGCCTCCAAGATCAGTAGGATCGAGGTATATGCGGTTGAATCGAAATGATGATATTGAACTTGGTTTTCGTTCTGTTTGTTATTATTCTACTGAACAAGAAACGTGTGAAAATGCAGATCTGGATCAATGTCCACATTGTTCAAAGNAAATCTGCTATTCACATTCACAACTAGGTGTTGATTTTATGTGGTTATTGCCTGTGATGGCATGCATACTTTGAACCGAAATGCCTCCAAGATCAGTAGGATCGAGGTATATGCGGTTGAATCGAAATGATGATATTGAACTTGGTTTTCGTTCTGTTTGTTATTATTCTACTGAACAAGAAACGTGTGAAAATGCAGATCTGGATCAATGTCCACATTGTTCAAAGATATTTTGTTATTCTCATCTTGTCCATCACCGAGATTGTGTTTTCAAACAATGTCAGGAATTGCAAACAGTCTTACTAGAAACTGAAAGAAAAACATCTGATTTTTTGTTCGCTCATAACATTTAAATGTTCATTCACGTTGTTTCAGTTTCATTTGTCTTCAGAGTCTTCTATTAAAACTTAAGTTAAGGATCTTCATACAGTAGTAAATAACAGTCTTGTAGACATGTTCATTATATGGTAACCTTATAGCTGGATTGAACAACAGTTTCCCGTTGGTAAAACGAAAAACTAATGCAGTCTGTTTTCTTTGGTCTGTTTCAGATATTTGTGTGGTTTTTGTTCTAAAGATGGAAACAGCATGGCCGGATGAAGCCATTAATGTTATCAGCTATAGTTTTCTAGTGTTAGTCGTACACGGTTTTATAATTGTATTTGGCGGCTGGGTACCGAGTGCATTTATAACTGTTGCACATCAGCGTGAGAATGTTACGTATTCTTGTAAGTAATGCTGTCAGTTTGGCCATACAGTCATTTTGTCATATTTTTTAGTATTTGGCCATAAATGTTTACCTGAAGCACCATCATCTATTTTATGTAACTCTGTTTATTCCATAACGGGCTTTTATTTCCTAATCTCATTTATCGGTGCTTTTATTTGGTGTTTTTGGACGCAATCATTACGTTTCCGTTATAAATTTACCGTTTGTCAGCGTAAAAAATCAAAAGTATACGCTCATTTAACTATTATTTTATTGGCACTCAATTGTTTTATTATAGAATCATCTTTATTTGTCCTAAAAACATTTGATGTTTCTTCAATACCCTATATTTTTATAACGATAACAAAATATTTACATATTTTGTCAATTATAATTATTATATGTTGGCTTCGAGGTTTAACGAAACAGCGTGATCATCAACGTTTAGACTTAGAAATGCCATCTCCGAACTTTAAATAATTATACGTTTTTGCGATAATCTTATAGGACAGACTTTCCTTTTCAAGATAAAAGGTTACACGTCCTTAGATTTGTATATGCCAACGATATAGTGAGATAATATCGTCCAGCCAGTGTGTTTCAACGACAGAAAGAGAAATAGAGCTGTTTTTGTGATAACTTGGAATTCAAGCGCATTGGAAGTAGTGTGACCGTTTATTTTGCAGAGGAAAGTCTATTCTGTACGATTATCGC